AAGTGCATCAGAAAATCTGAGCCGTTCTCTGCTCCATCCTCACGTCCAGGCGTTGACTGCAGGAATCAGGGCTGCTTCAAGTCTGAACGCGTTCCCCCGGTGAATGATAAGCAGTCCGCCCGACGCTCAGGGACGGGATATGGAAACACTTATCGAGGACGGTCAGGGCTGCTGGCATGGCCCTCCTGGTCCGTGTCTGCGGGGGGGGGGAGGCGGAGAGAGCAGATGCTCTGAGTCCGTGGGCGCCGTGGCTGAGCGTGGTTGCGCTCGGAGCAAGTCCCATGTGTTCTGCTCGCCTCCCCACACCAGCCACCTGAGATCACGGCGACTCGGTCAAGCGCTGGGGACACAGGTATCCTCTCCTGAAGACGGGCCTGGTCCTGAAACAGCTCCTTGAGAGACTTGGGAAGTGTGGCCCAGACACCTCAAGGAGAAGTGGCCCCCGGGGCCCATCTGGGGTCACACACGAGGAGAGCCCACCCCAGTGTCCTTGGGTCTCTGGGGTCACACACACGGAGGGCCTGCCCCAGTGTTTGGGGGTCCCTCTGTGCCCTGTGCTGCAAGAAAGGGAACTGGGCTTGAGACACGAAGGTCTTTGGAAGATGAGGAGGGAATAAAAGCATTTTCTCCCAATTTGGTTTGCATTTAAAGTCAGAGCTGTGGCTCCCTGTCCGCTGGGGCTGAGGAGGTCCCCAGCCCAGGCTTTCGGACACGCAGGACCTGCCTCCCACCTGCGTGGCTCCCTGACCTGTAGAGTCAGGCTGAAGGGCCCCCACGGGGATGCCAAAGTGGCTGGAAACCCGCCCTCATCTCCTACCACCCAACTCTCATCCCATCTGGGGCCAGGCCGGAGCTGGAACGGGGACAGAGGCATGCCACAGGGGACTGCGATCAAGGCTCTTTGGACGGTGGGCAGAGCGGGGCCCAGAGCCAGGTGACCGGGGGACGTGTGGCCCCACCACTTACAACCTGACTGTAAACTCAGGCAGTCACTTCACCCCCCACGTCTCAGGCTCCTGTCTGTCAGATAGGATTGCCGAGAAGACTGAGTTTTGAGACGTCGAGAGTGCTCCAATGAGCTGCGGCTGGAACGTCCACAGGAGGGGACCGTGTGCCCCCGGCCCCCAGCCCGGCGGAGGCCTCCCCGGAGTGGAAGCACGTCCACCTCCAGGCCTGGGGGCCCGTGGGTCTCAGAGGAAGAGAGCGAGGTCTTTGATGGGCACGGCCAGCATCTCCCAGCTCCACGTCTGGTGTGTTTGTGCATTTTTGAAATCCTGACAGAGACGCTGGCGCCCCCGTGACCGCCCTGCCGAGGCCCCTCAGGACAGCAGGAGTTCTGCAGCTAATAAGCAGGCCCCCCGCCGCCAGCCCAGCTGGGACTCCAGCGGGAGCCCTGTCCCCGGCCTTAACGAGGCCAGTCGCATCCAGGCAGACAAAGGTACGAGCTGCTGGCGGACGGGCCGCACCAGGGCATCTGGCCCTCGACTGCGGGGACAGACCTCCTCTTACAGCCTCAGCAAAGGCCTTTGGGCGGGAGGGGGACTCACTTTCCATCTGAATCTCATTAGGTTCCTTCACCCAGCGGCTACTCTGATCACTCAGTGGGCTCTACTGGCTTCGGGGCAGGAGGTGAGGGTGGGAGATGTGACTTGGAGCAAACAGGCCGCTCGTTAGGGCTGGGATTAGGACCTGATCATTCATTCCTACTTCTCAAAGCAGCTGGCTCCCCCGGCCCTGGCTAAGCGCTGTAAGCAGAGTCCCCTGGGGGTCACGAGTGCACCCCAAGAAGACGCCTCCCCCGCCCCGAGCCTTCCCCCGACTCTGACAATGACGTTCCCCCTGCAGCCCCCACATCAGAAGGTCAACAAAAGTAAGAAAGAACATTTTCAAATATCTGTAGCCCTAGAAATTGGTTTCCTGCTGGTAGAAGGGACCTGACGTCACGTTCAGGAGGAAGCTCTGGGGAGGGAAGATGCTGTCTGTGGATGAGCGAGACGAGCGTCCTCTGGAAACACAGCGTCAGAAAGGAAAACACAGAGCCCTGGCCGCAGCCACTGCCTGTGCGTGCGGGACGCGCGGCCCCGGGGCCGGGACGCTCTCCCCCCAGCAGCCCGACGTTCGGGAGGCTCAGCTCAGAAGAAAGCAATTTACCGTTAGCATTAAAGTCAATATCACTGAAAGCAAACCGAATGTTCCCACCCAGCAGAGCATGGAAAATTCAGAGCGTTCTGGTGCCGGTCTCCGGCTGCAAATTAGTAGATGTCTCAGCTCTTCACTTCCCTCCTTTATCATCTTCTTTCTTATCTCTTATTTTTATATTTCAAAATTGTATTTTAATTCTGCTCTGTGCCCTCCCCGCCCCCCGTCCCGTAAAGACACGTGATGGAGGCCCGGCCTGGCGTCCGCCCGCGGCGCCGCGGCCCTGTCTCCTCTTGTCGTGGAAACAGGAGCTGCGCTTGGAGCTCGCTTGGAGAACTGGGGTCCCCGGCGCTGCAGGGGAGCGGCACCCGCAGAACGACCGGGTGCCGAGTGGGGGCTCGAGGGTGTCCATCGGTCCCTTCCAGGGGGACCCGGGGGCATTTCTCATGAGTGCAGCAGAGAGACCACAAGCCCAGCCCTCTGGCTGGCAACCAGGGCGGTGATGCCCTCAGAATTCTACCTGCCACATCCGGAAGGGAGGCGGGGTGAGGGGGTGGAGGGAAGGTCAGGCAAAGGGACAATTAATCAAGGTCCCAGAAAAAGAGGTACTTACCATGAAACAGACACATGGCGTCTGCCCTGCCCCCAGGAGGTAAAAAAGACTTCGGCCAGTCAGCAGGAGATTTCAAACCACTTCTCAGACACAAAGGCCACAGGAATAAGATGCCGGTCAGAAGAGGAGGGTCTGCAGCAGGCAGAAAGGCGGGCTGGCACGTGCTGGCACCCGGCACCCCACCAGCCGGCCGGCTTGGGCCCGCCCCCGAAGACTGGCTTCTTAGGAGGAGGGTGTCGCTCTGGGCAGGGCGTGCGCTGCGCACGCGCGAGGTCCTGGGTTCAGTCCCCAGGACCTCCGTTAAACAAACAGACAAGCCTAGTTACCCCCTCCCCTACCGATAAGGAAAAGGACCCTGGCTTCTCGGGTAGAGGGGAGCCCCAGGGAGGTGATGCTCGGCCCGGCCCCGCTGGCCTCCCCGCCCGGAGCCGGCCGGTGTTCCCTCCCGCCCTGTCCCCGGAGGTCACACAGCCTGAGGCGTCCGTGCAAGGCGGAATCTGGTGCTGAGGCCCATGGTGGTGCCATCTCCAGGTTTTAGTTTTTGACTTGCAGGATGAGAGCCAGGCTCAGTGTCTCTGCCTCCACCCGCTTCACTGCATGTTATAGGGAGGGCGGGGCCTGGCGCCTAAAATGCCGCCCCCGCCCCGGTGTTTCAACCCTTTGAGACTGAGCTGCCACTTCCCAAGGCCGGCGAGAGCCAACAGAGCATCACCTTCAAACAGAAAGCAAGAACCTGTTCCGCCCGGGGTTCCCACGCCAGCCAGCTGTGCGCGCCCTGCCCGCGGCCAGGGGCGGAGGGTGAGGGCTGTGACACCCCGAGACCCACCCGCCCCTCTTCCCCCAAAGGCGGAAGCGCTGGCCGGCCGGGGCTGGCACCCAAACGGGCACACACACGTCAAGGTGACGGTCTGAGAATCCGTGCGCACACGGCCCTTGGCGAGGCTGGGATGCAGCCCACGAGCTCCCCAAACGTCGCTGAGTGGAAGCCATGGCATTTAGAAGGACCATCCTGAGGTTTCTGCTGCCCCCTTCTCCTCTGGGGAGGGGGCATCTCAGACAGAGAACACGGCGGAGTCCGGCTGTAAGTAAGTATTAAAGGAGCTCCCACTCGCTCTCGGGGACAGGACAAGGCGACATCAACTCCGGGAACAGCCCCTGCATCTCCTGGACGTGGGTGCAGGGCGGAGCCCCTCAGGGCACTGGGGCAGCGTCCCGGCTTCCCCACTGCTGACCGTGGGCCCTCAAGTCCACCCGGGGTCCTGCTCATTTCTTCCTAAGATTTTTAAGTTGTGGGATAAATTTTTTTTTATTATTATTTACAAAATGCTGCATGAGTGAGGGCTCACTCAAAAAAAAAAAACTAGTTTATTGCTGTTTAATCTAATTCTGGATGAACCTTCAGAAGTGACTCAAGGGTTTCTTGCACACCCCCGGGGCAGTGAGAGGCGTGTCTTCTTTGAGGGATTGTGTATGATTAATAAAAAAGGGCACTTAACAACCAGGAGTCGGGCTGGTGTTTGATATTTTCGCTAGATTTGCTGCCGACATTTTATTGATGGGGGTTCAGAGATGCTGGTGGGGGTGGGGCGATCAACACTCGTGGGTATCTGGGGAGCTCGAGACTGCGAGGCTGGCTTTGGACTCTGGGCAGTGAGACTTGCTCAGCCTCCGAGACGTGGGACCCAGGAGCGCGCAGGACAGT